ATTTATTTATTTATTTTTATAGAAAAAGAAAAAAGCATAATCTTCGAAATACATACAAACATTCGTGCATTGGCATTTTTCAATCGAAGACCAACTTTTTTATTGTAAGGTGCAAAAAGTTCAAAAGTATAAGGAGCCATTGAAATAAATTCTCAAATAGGTTATGAGCTGTCGCTGCACAAAAGTTCGGCGTTTTATACTGTTGTGTCGATTAGATTTGCCTCTCGGTATGCGAGTGCAGATAATAAGTGGAGAATACATAGTATATATATCACGTGCAAGAATCAACGTGAGGGCATTGAGTGCGTGCAGAGCAATGATTCTGTGTCACACCATAATAAGTACAGACTAGAACAGCAGTTACGTTAAAAAATACAAATCTTGCATTTCACGTAAGAGAAGAAAATGCACTTTTGTAAGGAATAATAAAAATAAACCTTACATACTCAAGTCATCAAATACAACACATGTCGATATATCATTGTTTGCTGAGACTGAGGAGCTGAGTATGAAAAAGGACAAAAGAACGTTGATAAAGCACTCACCAGCCTGTACAGGTGCAAATATTTTGTACGTTTATCAATAGACAAAAAAGGTTATCTTATTCTGACTTAACTATTGTCTTTGTAAAGAAATAGTGACTAAACATAGGAAAAATTCATATCTGAATAGTTGTAGTTTTTAACGTACAACTGTTGAAAGAAAAAAAGATAACAGGTGAGCAGTCAGGTTTTCATTTAAAAAACAAAAAAAGATGATCAAAAGCCCAAAGAAGATGATGATAGAAACTATAATTTATATTTTTTAAATGATTTTAGCAGATGTTGACAGATCCAGTACTCAATTACGTTTTCAATTTTTTAAGTATTTAATAAGGAAATTATTGATTATCAAATCTTACACATCTACCTTGGCGTATATATCTGTTACTTAATGAAAATTAAACGAGTTATATTATCGATAGATAGATCATGAAAAACACTTCAAAAACCAATATAACAATTATTTATCCAAAATTTAAGAAAACAAATTCTTGTTGAAATATCATTAAAATATGACATGAGCATTAAGTATACACCATTCTATGCACTGAATTAGAATTTAATTATTCTGACAATTACATCAATCGATAGAACTTTTCACAAGCTACAAAGTCACGCATAATTTGTCAAGAAACAAAAGCTGTGAACATGTTTGAAGTCAATAAAGTTCTATTCAAATAGGCAAAGGTAACATCTTTTGACCGATTTTCAGCGATTTCTGTGATAATAATCATCTTTTCAATCAAAATAAATAACATATAAAAAATGACATCGATCTACGTATGTTTCAATTTTCTGTTTGACGACTTTTATTTGTTAACCTATTTTTTGAAACAGCTCTGAAGAGAATGTCCAGGCCTCTAACTTTGATTCCAAATGAAGATCATCAGAAAAGTTTGAAATATGCATGGAGCGATGCCGTTATTCATACTGATTCCGAAGATGATTATTATGGCAGAAATCATTGAACACCGGCTAAAAAAATACCGTTTTTTTTTTGCCTACTCGAACAAAATATTATTGACTACAAACATATTCGCAACTTTTTTCCTGATAAATTATACATAGATTTGTAGTCCATGAAAAGCTCTATCAATTTGTATAAAATTCAGAGTGAGTAAACTCTAATTCGATATATAAATCGGTCAATAATCGATGCTAGCACCATACGTTAATAGTATTCAACAAGAACTTGTTATTTTAAATTTTGGATAAATGGTTGTTACATTGGTTTTTGAAGTATTTTTTACAATCTATGTTTCGATAATAAAATTCGGTTAGTTTACATTAAGTAGTAGTAAGGAAAGATTTGACAATCAAAGATTCTCCTATGTAACACTTAGAAAATCGAAGACGTAATAGGGTGTTGGGCCTTTAAACATCTACTTAAATCATCTAAACAACAATCATGAAACATATATAAAAAAAGAGAATGGACTAACTGCACATTTTTACAAGAACAAAAACGATATTTGAGAACAGGAGCAATGCTTGGCCTAAGATCTCGTCGTTATTATGTTAACAACTCAAGTCATGTTAACATGTGTTGATTTATCTCTGATTAAAAATGGTTGCAAAGAAGAAAAAGATCACCTTTGTACGGTCGAAAAGCGACTTCAACAGAGAACTTAACCCTTTATACCCTGAAGCGGTTTCAGAAGAGTCGCTGATAAAATTATCACAAAAATAGAGTATTGGTCTCCCCAACATACCAATGGTATGGGCAGATCGATCAGGCGCACTATCTTTTGTTCAGGGAAATTTGATAACCACAGTGACCATTGAGACAAAGAAGGGGATGGAACAGCTTTAAAAGCTCTACTTCTTTTCTTGTTTATGACGGTGTTAATTAGACAAATGTGCTTTCTATTCCTTTTTATTAGATTCAAATCCAAAAAGAAAAGCTACGAATATAAAAAACTATTTTTAAACACCACACGTATTTTTGACAGAGATTTTTTAAAAATACACATTTTTCTTTAAGTAAATATATCATCAATGAAGACATTTAATCGATGATAAATATTTTTTTCGACTGCTATCCTGATAAGATTTACAAATAATATATTCATGTATCCGCCATCTCTCTCTTTCTGTTCAATAGTCGTTTCAGAATCCATCTAGTATATTACCATTTCTTATCTGCCAAGCCACTCTGAAATTTTTGAAACGAATTTAGTTAAATAGTAGACACTACTATCGATATAGATGACACAATACAGCCTCGAAATCCCTATTGTGTGTGAGTGAAAAACCGTTTTGTTTTTAAAATTTTGTTCTTTTTAAATTCTTTCAAAATCGATAATTTTGAAAGTCATATATCTCGGTGATAGAGCAACAAAACAAAATATTTTTTTACCAATCGATAGCTTATGGAGTTCCATACCAATATTGTTTTGGGAGTTTTCAACACCATGCTTCCTGTATTTTCTGCAAAACTTTGTGTGAATGGGTCAAAAATGACCCAACAAGGTATAAAGAGTTAAAGATTACAAAAAAAAAAGAAAATGAAAACTTCTCAGTAATGAACGCTTTTGGACGATCCCAATAGTGAACACATTAAGGAGGTTTTATTGTATATTAAAAATAAGTTTTATATTTCTATTCCATAGATTCTCTATGAATCCATCATTCAATTTCATTGTATATATATATTATTTTTCTTTCTTAGAGGTGCGTTTTTATTATTTTTTAGAAAACAAACGAGAGAAAAGAGTGTGCGTTGTAAAAAAAACACAAACAGGAGAACAGTCATGAATATTTTTTCATCCCAACCACAAAATAGCCTATTAGAAAAGTTTGATCACCTACAAAGAAGAGTAATTATTAGAAGGACAACGAACAATAGTCTCATTGGAAAAAAACTGTCAATGAATGGATTGTACATTTATCCATCAAGTTCAAGTCCAAAACCAACTTTATGTCCACCGGCATTCAAATTTCGAGCTTCGAATAATGCCGATAAAGTTAATTTGACACCTAATCAATTAAATTATATAGAAAAATTTAATATCAAAGATAAAAACCTATACCTGGTCGTAAAAATTGCTGAAAGGAAAGACCAACTTGACAAATATTATTTACTTTTGCACCAACTACAGTTTGAGAATCAAGTTGATATTTTGATGCAAATGCAAATCGTGTTTGATTTGAACCAGCTGTCCAAGCTAATTGTACACCAGTTTCAAGTCGATCATTGACACGTTGATAAACACTGCCACCAACTTCATTACCATCATTCCTATTAAATAAAATATCATTAAAAAAAAATGATTTACTGTATGTTGTAAAATATATTTCGTTATGTTAGTTGTGTTCGAACCAAGAAAGAGAACATAAAATTTATATTTATATTGACATTTATGAAGTGTTAATTTATTACTCTTTCTAAAGGTAAGAAATGTACTTTATTATTTACACTTTTATTTTTAATGTGTCGTTTTTTTTTTCATTGATAGAAATTTTTAACGAATGTTTTTTGCTGTGAACTATCTTTCATTTATTAAAATAAAAATTAAACGAGTGTATAGTCATTGTAATTTAGTTTTATGTTGATGAATGAAGATAACAGAATACAGATACTTAAAACATATCAAATGTAAATATATGTCAAACTTGAAACTAAAACTCAATTATTGGACAAAGATATTTAGGTATTTTGAAGTTGGCACAGAAAGGCACATGCAGAGTGTTTCTCTAAAATGTTTGAATATCTCATCTAAGTACCTGAATAATTGAATATCTCAAAAGGTCTTTAATAATTAAATTCAAGTTTCAGATTTAACACAAATGCAAAAGTAGTGACCTCGGTAAAGAAAACTCTACTGAATATAGCCAACACAGAGTTTACTTGAGCAAATAGTCATGATCATTTACATACGATTAATTCATTCTAACAAGTTTAGTGAAGGTTCTTTTCGAATAATTATTGATTGAAAACTTCATCGGCTCAGTTACAATACTCTAGACATTGATTAGAAGCGGCCTTAGGCGACAAAATTCTGTTGAATATCGCCAACAAAAAAAAAATCTGATAAATTCATGAAGTCATAGGAAAGGATAAGCTCTATATTTGTCATGCATGAAAAGGCTGAAATTATTTGAAACAAATAATCATCAAGCGAAGAACTTGTATTGGTTGAAATTTGACTTAGTAGAGTATCGTGAAAACATTCTTTAGTATCTTTTCTTAGAGCAAACAGACAAATATTGTTATTTTAAAAAAACGCTGTTAGCGCAATCCCTTGCGGGATTAAAAATGTGAAACACGATGAATCTATTGTTACTAATTAAATAGAAATCCTTTTGTTCCGTTCCTTTGCGACTTATTTGTAGTTAACCGTTTATCTGATCTTTTACAACTACCGCTTCTCTATCACGGTCTGTGATGGGTACCAGGGTTCTCTATCACGGCCTGTGATGGGTACCCTGGATTCTCTGTCACGGTCTGTGATGGGTACCCTGAATTCTCTGTCACGGTCTGTGATGGGTACCCTGGATTCTCTGTCACGG